ACACAGTCAGGGGCCTGGATTCAAATCCTGGCCAGAGTAGTCACCAACTATGCACTTTAGGCAGGTTCAGAACCTCTCTGGACCCAGGTTGCTCCATCTCTTAGATGGGGCCTGATAGACCTGGACTGACAGTCTTCTGAGTTAGCATCAGGGTCCAGGGGGTCCCTGGAGGGAGGAAAACTTCAGGGGCAATGGAGCTGGCTTCTGCAGATCTCTGGCAGAGCCTAGTGGAGGCCAGACTTCACTAGACAGAGTTTAATCAGTGCTCAGGAGCCAGGCATCCTGTTTCAGAGACAGTAAGTAATGACCACAGTGGAGCTCGATCACAGCTCACTGGCCACAGCCCAGAGATGGAAAATTCTAGCAGAGGAGGGCCATCATGTGTCAACAAGTCTCCATGGAAGCCCTCTGTACTAACTCCAGATGTCCTAACAGGGCGTTGGAGAGGCAGGCAGCACAGCCCTGGCTGCTGTGGAGCTTCTGCGCAGCATGGCCCAGAGCAGCCACCGGAGTTCTTCAGGAAAGGGCTGCGTGGGGGTGGGGGTGGGGGGTGGGAGGATGGGAGTCAGCCTGACCTCGGTGCTCTCTCGGGCTTCCAGAATTTTCCATAAGATGGGCTTCAGGGATCCTGGGGGGAGTTGCCTGAAGGCCTCCCCAAGGACACTGTTGACCTTGTATGTTTACAACTGTCAAATAACACTTAGCATTTGATGACTATGATAGTCCCCCTTTGCAAGGGCTCCACAAAGGGAGCCCAGGATGCCCAGCCACCCTTGTCCCTTCTGGGGGAGGCTGTTGTCGTTACATAGCCTCCTGGGCTTTAGCGCCTATCTCCTCAGGACTCTTCAGCTGTCTTCAAGCCACTAGAACATTCTGCCCCTGGGACCAGTGGCTCCTTGGACTAGTGTCCACAGTTCACGCTATTCCTGCAGGCTCCTCCACGGCAGAGTGCACGAGCACACTTTCCTCAGTCATCAGGTGTCACTAGCCCTGCCCATTCTCCAGCCCCGATGGGGCCTGCTTCTCCCACTTCTTTAGAGTCCTCAGTGGCTCCCTATTACCCCCAGACGGTCCTAGTCTCTCTGACCTGGTAGACAATGCTGCCAGCCTCTCCGTTATTGCTGACCACACCTGCAACTCACTCCAGCCAAGAGCTCAGCTGCAGGCAGGAAGTTCAGGCCCTCACTAGTGCCGGATGGGTTAGTTGCCTTCCTTTCCTCCAGGCCTCCTTGAGAATTTTTAGAATCTGTATAATGGGCTCACTGGGAGCTTTGAAAGCTGACTCTTGGCTCATAGACGTCTGTCCTCTTCTGCCTTTTGATGCATGTGCCGCCACACCTGACCTTTGTGTTAGCAATTCATGATGGTGAGGTCTTCAGGCCTTCCCTCATCATCCCTTCCACCTCGGTGAGAGCCTGGGGACCTCCTGGTGGCACTGATGCGGTGGCCTGCCACCCTAGGTCCTGCACACCACCAGCCACAGGATCATTCCTAAAGTCTCAGGATGCCTGGCTCCCGAGCACTGATGAAACTCTGTCTAGTGAAGTCTGGCCTCCACTAGGCTGCTGCCAGAGATCTGCAGAAGCCACCTCCATTGCCCCTGAAGTTTTCCTTCCTCTCAGGGACCCACTGGACCCTGATGCTAACTCAGAAGACTGTCAGTCCAGGTCTATCAGGCCCCATCTAAGAGATGGAGCAACCTGGGTCCAGAGAGGTTCTGAACATGCCTAAGGTGCATAGTTGGTGACTACTCTGGTCAGGATTTGAACCCAGGCCCCCTGACTGTATCTTCTCATGGCACTCTGGTATTTGTTAACAGAATGAAAGAGTGAGGCCAGCTGTGGTGCATGCCTCCAGCCACTCAAGAGGCGGAGACAAGGATCACAAGTTCAAAGCCTTCCTGGGCTACAGAATAAACTTGAAAGCCAGATTCAGTCATGTAGAACACACACACACACACACACACACACACACACACACACACGCACACACACACACGCGTGCGCACACCGCGCAGGGCATTATTAGCTCAGTATGCATTGGACCTTGGGTTCAGTACCCCGTACCAAGAAAGAGCAATAAAGGAGTTGAGCAGCGATGTCTGTACTGTAGAAGTGGGCACACCGTAGATGCTTTGAAGTACCTGCGACCAGAAAGAGTACACAGGGAGGCAGGTGGCATCTAAGGGCTTTCTGGCTGTTTCTTGCTCTAGGGACAGCAGGAGCAGGCTGTGCCAGCCCCTCCCTGGACTGAGCCAGAACAGACAGAAGCCCTTGCCTGTGCTGCCTCCCTGTCTGAGGTGGGGCTGCTGACGTGGCCACCATTTCTGGGAACCCCAGTGGCTGCTGCCTGGGAGCAGTGTGTCCTTGGCTCCCAGCCAGCCCAGCCCAGCAGTCTTGAAGTCGGGAGGAAGCTACAGGCCTACTTAGACTGGAATCTTGGGTCAGTCACCTCAGAAGCCACCACAGCCCCTTGAGCTTGCTTCCTCCGTATGTGCAGCTTGTCACGGTGCCGTCTGGCCACATTTGCACTGCACCTCAAGAGGCAGCAAGGTGGTCTGCCTGGGGCCCATGTGGCTCTGGGGCCACAGCAGGCATCTCACCAGCTCTGTTTCAGTGCCCTTGCCTGCGGAATGAGATGCTGATGGCACCTGCCTCACAGGGCGTCTCAGAAGTAAACTGGGGTCGCAGTCAGCATCCCATATAGCTGTCTGGGTGGAGGCTTGGCCCAGGGTCTGTGTTCAGATTGCTGAATTTATTCTTGCCTAATTTCTACCACTCACTCTCTTAACAGACAGTTACACGAACACACACTCCATAATATGCTAAGCAGTGTTCTGGGGACCAGGGACAAATTAATGATAAGGGCAAACACAAACCTGTCTTCTCATGTCTGGCACTCAATGAAGACAGACACATAGTAGCTGTGGTGACAAATACATGATCTAAATGACCAGTTTCCTTTCTTTATCAGGGAGGAGTTGAGAGTCTCGCTGTTTAGTACTGGCTGGCCTTGAATTTAGAATCCTCCTCTGCCTCCCAGATGCTGGGATTACGGGCATTCCTTGCCATGCCTGACCACAGGTTACCCCATACGCTTCCATTTCTCAAACCACGAGCATCCTAAGGAGCTTCCATGTCTTCCTACTGCTCCAGCCTCTTTGGTAAACCTTTTGTATGCTTTGCCTGATTTCTCAACGAAATGTCACACTCGCTTGTAGGATGTTTGTCTATTGAAGTCATTAACTCTTTGTATTTTGCTTCCTCTCGTCTTTTTCTTGTTTTTGTCTTTTCCTTTTGCATGGCTGGGGATGGAACTTGGGAGCCTCTGGGGGCTTCAGCACGAGCTTTACCACCAAGCCGCATCCTCAGTACCCTTCTCTTTCCAGTCAGATCTCTCCGCCATTGCTGTGCTGGGGCCAGAGATTTTTTTTTTGTTGTTGTTGTTTTGTTTTTTTGAGACAGGGTTTCTCTGTGTCTTTGGAGGCTGTCCTGGAACTCCCTTGGTAGTCCAGGATGGTCTCGAACTCACAGAGATCCGCCTGCCTCTGCCTCCCGAGTGCTGGGATTAAAGGCGTGTGCCACCAACGCCCGGCCAGAGACGTTTTTTGCCTAGCCTCCCTAGGGAGGGTGGAGGTTGTGCCAGGCTGAGGCAGGGGCGGTTGCTCCATGGTGACAGAGTAGGGAGAGCCCTCAGCACAGGGGGAGGGCCAGATGAGGCTCACAGGAGTGTTTCTGGGCCTGTCAATGAGAAGGGAGCTTGTGGTCACTGCCCAGAGGGCCCTAGAGTTTTGTGGGGAGGGTGAGTGGATTCTTTGAAGTCATGTCACGAGAGACTTGGAGTTTGTTTTTTCTGCTTTCTTAAATTTAAACTTTATTTTCAGATAATTGAAGATTTAATGCAGTTTTAAGAATAACAGAGAAACACTGAAGGTCCCTAAGCCCTCAGTTACCCTGTGTTGATCTCGCAAGCACGATGCATGAGTGTGTGTGTGTGTGTGTGTGTGCGCGCTCGTGCATGCGTGCACACGTGTGCTCATGCGTGCGTGCATGGGTGCGTGCATGCCTGCCTGCCTGCTTTGCCTACATGAGTGCGTGTGGAGGCCAAAGGTTGATGTTGAGTGTCTTCCTCTATCACTTTCATCTTGATTTTAATGATCTATTTATGTGTCTGGTTATATTGCCTGACTGTATGTCTGTATACGTCACTTATGCTGGTGTCCTTGGAGGCCAGTGAGGGCTCTGAGTTCCTTGAAACCAGAGTCACAGAAGGTTGTAAATTGGCATGTGGATGCTGTGAACCACACCCAAGTTCTCTGTGCTCTTAGATGCTGAACCATCTCTCCAGCCCCCCCCCCTTTTCTTTTTCAAGATAGGGTTTCTCTGTGTAACAGCCCTAGCTGTCCTGGAACTCGCTCAGTAGACCAGGCTGCCCTTGAACTCACAGAGATCTGCCTGCCTCTGTCTCCCGAGTGCTGGGATTAAAGGCGTGCGCCACCACTGCTTGCAGCCCATCATTTTTCTGAGATAGGGTTTATAATAATAGTAGTAGCTTGGAGCTCACACATTAAGCTAGACTGTGGCCAGTGAGCTCCAGGGAGGAGCTGTCCCCTCTCCCAGTTACAGACACACACTGCTAGATCTTACGTGGGTCCTGGAGACCTGTTCCAGCCGCAGTGTGGACTCTGCTGGCTCTGTCTGTTCCTTTAAGCTGCCAGCCACCCTCAGATGGGGCTGTCAGCAGATGGTCACTGGCAGAGAGGGATGCTGAGGCACGGAGTGTAGCTTGCTCAGGTTCACAGCTGGTTTGGGAGGGAGCCAGGGTTTGAACTTTAGAAAGTTGTGAGTGTGTGCTACCACTCTTCTGGGACAGTTGAACAGTGGCACGGTCTCTGGCCCTGTGTGGAGAGGGCACAGAGACGTGGGGGAGAGAGGCCATGCCACAAGTGAAATGAGCCCCACTGTACCCAGATCGGCACTCATCCACTCTTTCTTCTGCAGGCACTTTTGCATCCCCAATGGGGTGGCTTTGCACCAAGTTCCTGACCTCTGTGAGTTTCCTGATTTTGCTGTGGGTGGCTGGCTCTGGTAAGTCACCACCTCTCTGTCATTCATTCATCAACCACTAATGACATGTCAGAGTCCTGAGGTTCATCAATGAACATGACAAAGCCCTTGTAGAGACTGCGTGGTATCGGAAGGGGACAGCTGATGATAAATGTCCTGAATAGTTAATTTTCTTTGATACTAATTCAAAATGAAAATTGAGATCGTCCTGGAAATGAGTAGAAAATACTTTGAGTTATATACAAAAGTTATCTAAAGATGGTGGGAAACTCAGCTCAGAGCTAAATGGGGTGGGGTGGAGAGGGGGGATTGCAGGTTAAATGAAGCAGGGTGCTTGAGGATTTTCTCTCAGGGGACAGTGGGTTCAACTTGAAGAAAAGCAGGGGAGGGCATGCCAGTGTCTGAAGGTACATTCTCGATGAGGCCCCCAGGCAGAGCCCACCTGGCATGGGGGGGGGGGGTGACACACAAGTCACCACTGAGTCCTTGGAGAGTCTGAGGACCTGGCAGTCGAGTGAAGACCAGGGTGAAGTGGAGGTCTGGGAAGAAAAGACATTTCTGGATCAACTAGAAGGTCACAGTGAGGATACATGGGAATTGACTTCAAGGTTTCTCATCCGTGTGGCCAGTGTGGCTTACACCTGTCAGCTCAGCTCAGCACTTGGGAGACTGAGGCAGGAGGATTGTGAGTTTGAGGCCAGCTTGGGCTACATAGTAAGTCCGAGGCCCAGCCTGACATAACTATGGAGACACTGAAAAAAAAATGGGCCCAAAAATTCGGCCCCAAGCCCAGACAAGGGCAGACAGTTCTGTGATGGGAAGACCAGAGCAGCTGTTGGAGGAGTCGGGCCAGGAGGTCAGACTTTTGTTTGCTGTGTGAACGCTTAACTGCATGGCGGGCCGCACCCACTGGCATGTGTATCGTGACTTTGTCTGGAATGTGGCCATGCAGGGCTTGGGTCAGAAAGCTCCTGAGAGCCCCAAATAGTAGTCAGAGCACCCAACAGTTAGCAAAGCCCCACAGTCACTGGCTGTCCCACAGTACCTGGTCTCTGAATTGTTGGCAGGGAGCTGACATGTGAGTGTCTGTCCCCTCCTTCCCTCCCTTCTGTTGGCTAGGCCTCTTGAACGCTAGAGGACAAGAGCCTGAGCAGTTCAGAGCAGGGTCAGCCTCTTGTCTCAGTGGATAAGGAGATGGGGGAGGGAGATGTGGGGAGTGGGCAGCTCTACAGGGCTCCACCTTTTCCCCTGTGCTTTAGGGTGGGTGCTACTGGAATGGAGTGGAACCTCTGAGTGTGAGCGTGTGTGCGTGTGTGTGCGCGCACGTGTGCGCTCGCCGCATGCACACAGGCATGAGTTCTTGGTCCTGTTTGCACTAGCCTCCCTCTTACCTTGGTGGTGGGAGACTCTTGCCATGATTCCCATGCTCGGGTCATCTTGTCTCTGCAGGGAGCATTAAGGTGCTGGGTGAGCCCACCTGCTTCTCTGACTACATCCGCAATTCCACTTGTGAGTGGTACCTGGATGGCGCTGTCGACTGCAGATCTCAGCTCCACCTGTTATACTGGCTGGACTTTGAGTTCTCTGAGTAAGTAGGTTAGGGACACAGTGCCCAGAGGTCTGTCCAAACCTTTGCTGCTCCCAGCAGGTACCAGGATATGTTGTGCTGTGCAGCTGCGGCAGCTTATTGGGTGGTGTTTGAGGTGGGGCCAGGTCTGGGATGAGGTATCCTGTGTGATACTACAGTTGAGCCGAGCTTGGAGTTTGGTGGTGCAGACCTATAACTTGGGAAGCTGAGGTAGGCCCGCCTGGGCAACTTAGTGAGATCCTGTTGCAAAATTAAACAGGGGAAAGGGCTGAGGATGTAGCTCAGTGGTAGAGTACTTTCCAATGGATAACCTTGAGTTCAGTTGCCAGCACCCCACCCAACCCCACAGGGTAGGTACAGAGGACACTGTAGGACTCTGGACCCACTCACTGTCCCTGTATTCATGTGGCTGGGATATTCAACTAGATCAGCACTTCTCCAACTTCTTTTGCATCTAACATTAGCAAGGGCCAGAACTAGATCTCGTCTCCAAAAAAAAAAAAATCACAAATAAGGTTGGCAAGATGGCTCAGCTGATAAAGTGCCTGATGGCTTGAGTTTAATCTCCAGGGTCCGTCCGCATGTTAGGTCGAGAGAACGGTGGAAGGTTGACGGATGACCCCTGAGCACGCTTAGCCATGGGACAAGATGACCCCTGAGCTTAGTCATGGGACAAGACTGTGGAGTTTGCTGTGTAGATGGATGGCAGGGTACGCAGGCATAGAGTCCAGGGCTCACGCTGTGATATTCCAAGGCACCCAGGTGCTCTGTGAGCATTGTGCCTAGGACGAAACCAAGTCCACAGACCCAGTGCTCCAGAGACACACACTGACGTGGCCCTAATGCCTTTGGAGTGAGCCTCCATCCTCCTTAAGGCCTTAAGGCAAGTGAACTGTGATTTTGCACATTGGCACAGACCACACACTGGCAAACTGTGGACCTCGGGTCTGTTGGCTACTACTTGTTTTTTGGTTTTTGTTTGTTTGTCTTTTGAGACAGGATCTCTCTATGTATCTGGCTGTCCTGTAACTGGCTATGTAGACCATCCTGGGCTCAGACTCACAGAGATCTGCTTACCTCTGTCTGTGCTGGAATTAAAGGCATGTGCTACCACAGCAGGCAAACTACTGTTTTTATGAATAAAGTTTTAGTAGCACACACCATCTCATTAATTTGCATCTCATCTGTGGCTGCTTTAGGGCTACATCAGCAATTTGTTGTTGTGACAGAAACTGTATTGTCTTCAAAAGCCTTCAATGTCATGTCTGGCCTTTTACAGAAAATGAGTTTTGGCCCCTGGCCTGTGAGATGTAGGTGGCCTCTCTAGGTGGCCCTTTGGCAGGATTACACTAGTGTGTACAGGAGTCTGTGGGAGGTGTGCTGGGCTTATCACAGTCCACTGTGAACTGAGGGATGCTGGGACACCATGAATTTCTTAATGTTCAAGTCCTGGGACTGAGGTCTATAGCCAGATCAACACAGGAGTGTCCAGAATGGGGTGGTGTGACTAGCAAGATGCCAACCCTAAGTCAGGTGCCTGCCTGGTCCCGGCTGCTCTGGTCTTCCTGTTGGGCAGTTGGGAAGCTGGTGACCATGGGAAATTTCCTAATCCAGCCTGGTCTGCAGAAACCACACATGCATCCCGGAGAACAGCGCCAGCACTGTGTGTGTGTGCCGCATGGATACAGATGAACTGATCCAGACAGACTCCTACAAACTGGTCCTGTATGCTGAGGGACGATTGCTGTGGTGGGGCTCCTTCAGGCCCAGTAGCAATGGTAAGGCCTGGCTGGCAGGATGCTCCAACAGGGGGGCGGGGTGCACACTTGCTGTAGGTCAGCTGCTGACTTGTCACGTGGCCTTGACCATGGAAGGCTGGCCTTGCTCCAGCACAGGTCCTCCCTCACCCGGAGTCCCTGCAGCAACCCTTAGCACAAGCTTGCTCCACACAGTTCATTTATTTGTGTCACTGAGGACAGAACCCAGGACTTCACAGATGCTAGGCAAATGCTCTGCCAATGAGCGTGCCTCAGTGTAGTTACAACAGGAATCCAAAGCAAGAATTTGTTGCTGGGCGACCCAGGGCAAATCACATTACTTATCTGTACCTCAGCTTGTGAAGGAGATTGATTACCCTCATTTCGAATATCAGAAAAGGCAGGCAGCTTGCCCTAGGTCACACAACTTCTCAGTACCAGAGGCAGAATTTAAGACCACATCCCCCCAAGATCTCAGGGTTTTCTGTCTGTGATTAGAACTGCTGCTCAGGCTGCTGGGTACCCACGAGTTAGTAGAATTAACCCACGAATGAGTTTAAAGTCATTTTCACATTGACTTTAATATGCATGCTACAGTTGTGATTTCACAGATATGACTACATAAGAAGTGATGAAGCTGGGTGAGGTAGCATACTCCTGTAATCCCAGCACTTAGGAGTCAGGAAGGAGGGTCAGGGGTTCGAGGCCAGCCCCCTCCCCCCCCAAAAAAGAGATGAAGTTGTTAATCCAGACATCAAAACAAAATAGATTCCAAGGCTCAAGGCCCTCATGCAGGCTCTCTTTCTCCCCAGTGAAGCCCCTGGCTCCAGGCAATCTCACAGTCCACACCAACGTCTCCAATGCATGGCTGCTGACATGGAGCAACCCGTACCCATCAACAAACACCCTGTACAAGGAACTCATCTACATGGTCAACATCTCCAGAGTGGACAACCCTGAGGAAGTGAGTGCGTGCCATGGATCCCTGCCGTTGACTGGGAACAGGGCTGGGAGGGACGGCTGCATCTTTGGAGTAGGGAACTTGGGAAGAGGTGTGGTGTAGGACAGTGAACCAGAGAGCTCACTCCTCACCGGGCCCTGCCCCAGGCACATCCTTCCCCTTCCTGGTCCTCCATCTTCAGTGTGCAGTAGTGTTGGCCAGTTTTCCATCACTAAGATAAAGTGCCGAGATAATCGACTTTAAGAGGCAGGCTTTATTTAAGTGTGTGATTCCCTGGAGAACAGTTCCTGGTCTCGTGGCCCCATCACTCCGGCTTGTGTTGCAGCACCACGGCAGGAGTGGAGCAGAGCCACTCACCTCATGGTGGCCAGAGACAGAAAGAGAGGGACACACGCAAACACGTGCCCCCTGTCCTGATTCCTCCCAAGAGGATGGCTTTGTGACCCACCCTTCACATACAGTGGTTCCACTCTAGGGACCAAGCCTCTCCCATGTGGACTCTAGGGAATATTCTGGATCCAAACCATAGTCTCAGGGAGAGGACCTATCCCTGCCATCTTAACTCTGTTAGCAAAGGGTTTGGGGCCACATCTGCTTCCCAGAAGGGAATGCATGAGGTTGTGGGTGGTAGAGTGGTCACTTCAGGCTGGGCACACTCCTGGACACTTTGGCTTTTGTGTGTCATTCATGGTGACCTGTCTTCTGTGCATGGGTCACAGCTCCTTGCTGAGCTGGGCTAGGTGTGGTGGCGCATGCCTGTAACCACAGCCCTCAGGAGACAGAGGGAAAGGATGGGAAGTTCTAGACTAGCCTGGGCTACATAGACCTTTCAAACAACAACAAACAAACAGAATCCCCAAAAATTGCAGTGCAGGGAGGTGTTATTAGATAGACAAAGGCAGGTAGGTGTCTGTGGCGATTGCTTGGGCCCCTGTGGGTGGGGGTTATTTCCTGCCACCCATTTCCCAGTGGTGGGATTTCCCTGATGAGGTCACTAGTCCAAGATCATACAGTTTAGCCTTAGTTTACAGTGTGTTCAAACCCAGTTTAATCCACTTGTCCAGATAATAGTTGATATCCCATGGCTAAGCATGGGAGGAACCAGGGGAGGGCTGCTACCCTCTCTGTCATTCTCTCAGCAGTAGCCGGGCTGTGGGAATGACCGCATGAGCGTGGGTGCCGCTTGTCCACTGACTAAAAGGATCTCCGATAGTGTCTCCTCACCCTCACTCTGCCTCCCCTTCCTTCCTGGCACTTGCCCCCGTCCTGGGGTTGCTTTGTTTCTGTTTTTGGTTTTTAATCAGTTTTCCATCTTTTGCTCATGATGTGTGTGTTGGGTCTGAGTGCAGGAGTGTAGCACATGTATATCAGTCCCGGCCTTTCACGATGTTTGAGATGGGTCTGTTTTCCCCACTGTCTACACAGGCTAGCTGGCCACCAGCTTCTGGAGTCTCCTAATTCCCATCAGGGCTACAGACGCATGCTCCAGGGTTTTACATGGGTTCTGGGGATTCAAACTCAGGTCCTCACGCTTGCATGGCACGGAACCATCTCCTGAACCCTGTACTTCCGTTTTTGACTATGCCAGCTCCACTGCTCCCAGACCCCCTGTGCTTGCCTCACTGCAGGAGTCCCAAGGTCATTCAAGCACAGCTTGACAATATTTGCTGAAAAACACATGTACAAGCCCCCACCCCTCTCCCCCAGCAGTACCACTGACCGGCAGCCAGGCTGGGAACCAACACACATCCCTGCCAGCCTGGCTCTCATACATTCTCTTCTGACAGTTCATAGTCTATAATGTGACCTACGTGGAACCCAGACTGCTCCTCCCAACCAAGACCCTCAAGTCAGGGGTGCACTACAGGGCACGGGTGAGGGTCTTGGCTCAGAACTTCAGTGGCACGTGGAGTAAGTGGAGTCCCAGCATCATGATATACAACCGTGAGTATCAGGGCCCTGGGCTGTGGTGTCTAACAGTGTGTACTCTAGTCAGGAATTCCCTCTGGCTGTCCCTCAGCTGGATGTGTGACCTTTTTAATCCCGTGGTCCTCACGGCCTGTGAGAAAGATGTTTCTAACTCCACTGAACAGATGAGAACCCGAGGGGATTAGCAACTTGCCCCGGACTGCTCAGCAAGGACGCACAGAGGAGGCTTTGAACTCAGGGCCTCCCACTTGTCAGTGCACTTGACCTCTGAACTTCGGAAAGCCGGAGCAACAGCTTCAAGCTGTTGTGGTCTGGACTTGGCTCAGGGACAGTGGGGGTGCAGGTGTGCTAAAGTCTTGGCATGTGAGGGGGAGAGCTAGGGAGACAGGTGGGGAGCTCTCTGCAGCCAAGGATCCTGGGGGAACCCCGAGGGAGTGGAGGCTGACGGCACACGGCACAGGGCGGGCTCCCAGCTCACGGCTGTCCTTCATCTTGCAGACTTCCCGCTGCCCCTGGTGCAGCGCCTCCCACTGGGGGTTGGCATCTCCTGCCTCTGCATCCTGTTGTTTTGCCTGTCGTGCTACATCGGCATCATCAAGTGAGTTCTTCTTTGGCTGGTGCTGCAAGCTGGCCCTTCCGCAGTGCTGGGTGTGGGTACCCTGCTTGTCTGTCCTGGCTGCCGTAATACAGTCTCTGATTGGCCACTGTGCTGGCTGAGACAAGGACTCAGTCTCTGGTCCAAAGACTGCCTCTCAGGCCAGTGGCTGGAGCGTTTTCCACGGTAGCTGTGCCCTGGAGAAGAGAGCAGGGGTGGGGGTAGGAGGGTAGTGATGGTGGGTGCTCTGGGGAGGGCTGGGGAGGGGTCTTTCTTTGGCACAAAGGAAATGGAGTTGTTGCTGCGTCCCTCTCAGTGTCCATGGTATGGTCCAGGCGTAGTTTATGTGTTGGCAGAGGAATTTGAGTAGATGGTGGGAATATAGTAGGATATGAGCGAGGCCTGTCGGAGGTGCTTGCTTGCTGGTAGGTGGCTAGGTGGCTGGCAAGCTGCCTGTAACCTGAGCTCCTCTGTAGGCTCAGAGTGACTGTGAGACCAAGACCTCCAGGGGAGCCTGGGCAGGGCTGGTAGATGGGGAAGGTCTATCTCTGCTGAGTTCTACCCTGGAACCCGGGCCCAGGGCCATGTTCTTTGTGAAATGAGATTAGCAGTAACTGAGGAGTGATGCCGTGTGGTGCCCCCCCCCCCAGTCTGCTGGGAATGCTGGGTCCTCTCTGTAGCTTGCCTTCCGTGCCCAAGTCACTCTGAACTAGGCACTGCTGCCCTGAGCCTCGGTTTCTCTGTTCTTTGTTGCCCTTCCCTTCCCCCACCCCAGGTCCCACCCAGCAGCCTTCAGTTCTTGAAGCCACACGGCATGTGCTTGGCCACGTCCCCACCCTGAAAGTTCTGTCCCTTGACCGTCTCTGGGCTAATCCCTACTACCCCCAGCCTGATTCTCCCTCCCTCCTTCCTCCTACACTTGTACATCGTTGTCTTTTTATTCTTGTAACTGTTTTGGAAGCCAGGGCCCCACACATCCCACTCTATCCCTGCATCTCCACCTTAGCCTTCTACTTCAATTGTCCCGGCTGGCCTCGAACTCATTTCAGCTTAGGAAGGAAGGCCTTGAACTTTGACTCTTCTGCCCAGACTCCTGAGTGACTGGGATGATACCCAGTCACCATGCCTGGCCGTGGTCTTGCTCATGGTGAATGAGTACCACGTGACCATGTCTGCCTGTGCTTCTTGTTTCTCTTGAAGGCTACCCCCCCCCACAGGGCTTTGCCTACCTCTTTGTCTGCCTTGGTCCCTGTGGCCTTGGCACAGTGATTGATGCATAGTAGGTGCTCAGCAAACACTGTGGGAAGTTGGTGGAGTGAGAACCACAGGAGTCAGGCAGTCCAGGAAGAGAGGGAGCGGCTGCTTCCCCATGGTTCCTGGCCTCTCGGGCCTGTTAAAGCCAGCATGGCACAAAGCTACTGCTACTCCTAAGAAGAGTCTACTGCGGGAGCAGGATCTCTGCTGTGAGTAGAGTCCTTGCTGGGTCAGAGGCAGCCGCCCCAGAGGCTGCCATAGTGTGAGTTTGCGAAGCCGCTCTGCCAGCATCACACGTGCTCTGGGCCCCTCTCCCTGTTTAGAATGGCTCTGGATGAAGTCATCCTCAGCAGGTTAGGAACAACATTGTTGTTGTGTATCCAGAGTGGAGTCAGTGTAGCCTCGGAGCCCTGGAGGAGCCCTGGCCAGGATGCTTGCAAGAGTACCTTGACCACAGCACATTCAGAGACCAACCCTCTTCCTTTACCCTCAGGATTAAGAAGACGTGGTGGGACCAGATTCCCACCCCAGCACGCAGTCCCCTGGTGGCCATCATCATTCAGGACTCTCAGGTAGGAGGATGCAAGTGTTCCATAGTGTCACTCCCAGCCACGGGTGGAGTGGGCGCTAGGAGCAAACCACTGGGACTCCAGAGCCAAGGGTGGTAAGCCACACAGTGGACAGCTGTGAAGTCCACACCCATGTCCATGTGGGCCCAGTATTATCTCTGGCTCCCAGAGCTCTGTGGGGCCTGTGTGGACCTCAGCCGTCCAGGCACAGTTGCTGTCCGTGAAGACCCCGAGCCTTCTGTCACTGGGCTGGGCTGGCAGACAACAACACCCCATTATCTAATTGACTGTCTGTTTTAGGTGCCCCTCTGGGAGAAGCAGACCCGAAGCCAGGAGTCAACCAAGTGCCCGTATGTATCTGAACTTGAACTTGGGTTGTAGCTCTTGTGGATTTGGGAAGTGTGAGAATGTGGTAGCTACTCAGCTGATGGCAGAGTCATTCCCCCTCTCCAACCCCCCCCCCCAACTGCCTTCTCTCTTCCTAGCCCCAAGGGTGACAGGAGGCAATTATGGGTGGCTAAGTTCCCATTCTACAGTGAGAACAGACTGGGTATTGATAATAAAGCCAGAAGTCATGTCTATGACACCCCAATATCAATACAGGGTGATTCCATGCAGGGTTCTAGAGGATGAAAAGGAGTTTTTCAATTGTGGTGAGACTGAACCCTGAATCTTCTTTCTGCAGACGCTGGAAGACTTGTCTGACCAAACTGCTGCCCTGCTTGCTCGAGCACGGTGTGAAGAAGGAATCAGAGTCCCCAAAGGCTGCCAAAACTGGGCCTCTCCAGAGTCCTGAAAAGGCAGCCTGGCGTCCTGTGGAGGTCGCCAGGACTGTCCTCTGGCCAGAGAATGTCAGTGTCAGTGTGGTGCGCTGTATGGAGGCCCCAGTAGAGAGCGAGGAGGAAGAAGAGGAGATGGTCAGAGGGGACGAGAGCATGTTACCCGAGAACAGCACAGGTGGCCTGCAGGAGGGTCAGGCAGACATCATGGCCCGGCTCACTGAAAACCTGTTTTCAGACTTGCTGAAGGCTGAAGATGGGTGCATTGGCCAGTTGAGCCTGAGGGAGTCGTGCTCCCCTATGCCTTCAGACTGTGGGCCAGCTTCTGTGGCCTGGAGCCACTTACTCACGGGGCAGGCCACAGAACAGCCTTTACACCCGGACCCTCCCTCAGGCACCCTAACCCACGATGCAACTGACCCAGCCTGCACACAGGTGCCACTTGTCGTCACAGACAATCCTGCCTACCGCAGTTTTAGTGACTTTGGCAGCCCGTCCCCACATCCTGAAGAGCTGACCTCGGAGCAGCAGCAGGCTGCACACCTGGAAGAAGGGGACCCTCCAAGCCCAGCTGACCCTCACCCTTCAGGCCCACCTGTGCAGCAAGTGGAAAGCTGGGAACAGATCCTTCACCTGAGTATCCTGCAGCATGGGGCAGCTGGCTGTGACTCAACCCCTACCAATGGCTACCGGGAGTTTGTGCAGGCAGTGAAGCAGGGTGCCACCCAGGACCCCAGGGTGCCTTGCTTCGGGCCCAGTGTGGATGCTGCAGGTTACAAGGCCTTCTCCAGCTTGCTCAACCGCAGCGCCATCTGCACAGACACAGCAGGACTGGGGACTGAGAGTGGAGGCTATAAGCCCTTCCAAGCAGAACCGGGCACTGACAGTGGGCTCGGAGGCTACAAGCCCTTCCAGAACCCTGTTCCTAACCAGTCCCCTAGCTCCATGCCCTTATTCACCTTCGGACTGGACATGGGGTTGCCATCCAGTTCTCAGAACTCAGTCCCACCCAGCAGCACCCCAGAATGCCTTGGTCTGGAGCTAGGACTCAAAGAAGGTGACAGGCTAAAGGCCCCTCCTCCTGCAGATCAAGTGCCCACGCCCTTTGGGGATGACCTAGGCCTTGGCATTGTCTACTCTTCCCTCACCTGCCACCTGTGTGGCCACCTGAAGCAGCACCACAGCCAGGAGGAAGGGGGCCAGAGCCACATGGTTGCTAGCCCCTGCTGTGGCTGCTGTTGTGGGGACAGGTCACCATCCCCAGGGAGCCTCTCAGGGACCTTGGAAACCTGCCCTGGGGAGATGTCGCCAGAAGCCAACCCCATCTCAGCACCCAGGACACCTTCAAACTTGTCCGTGGAGGGCAAGGTTGCTGGTCATGCTATTTCCAGCCATACCACCAAGGTGTCTGCTGGCACCCTGGGCATGGCAGTTTCCTAGGTGAGTGAGTGTGCTGTTGTCGAGGTCGGTCATGAGCCCAGGGTTCATCCAAGCCAGGGGCGTGCCTCCCAGGAGACAGCCCAGCTGGCAGGTTTCCCAGAATCCAGAGAAGGATGAATTGAAGATGTGAACTTAGCCTGACCCTGGAGCTTGGAGCCTGGCTGCCTTCCCACCACTGGCCTGGGCTCTCCTCACAAGGGATTCGGGGGCTCAGAATTCTGTGTGCCACAACAGTGCTGAGAGTCCTAAGCCCCCTGCTCTCCCAGTTCTTGGTGCCCTACCTGCTCAGCCCCCCCCTTTTTTTTCACCAAATAGATCTGTTGCCCAAGGCTCACAGCAGTCCTGGCACAGCTGCTTGACTCTCACTGAGCTGGAAGCTAAGCCTAGAAACTCAGAGCTGGCCTGGCAGTGGCTTGGGAGGCACTAAAAATGGGTAGAAATAGTAGGTTCAGGGAGGGCAGTTATTGGCCCCAAGGTGGCCGTTCATTGAACAGCTACTGTGGGTTAAGGCTGGAGGCAGAATCTACTGTCCCGGCCAACTCAGTTGTGGAGAGCAACAAGGCTACAGGAAAGCAGTCGCTGCCAGTTGCCCACACGTGACCTGCAGCCAGGGCTCCTGGAATGTGGAGGTGGAGATGCAGCTGCCCAGTGGCGAGTCCCAGTGGACACCACTGCTGACCGTCAGGACGAGACCACAAAGGGTTGGGGCTGCTTGTGGTAGGTGGTAGCAGACGACAGAGTGCAGTCGGACTGCTTTCTGGAAGGATGGGGCCAGGTTGGGCAGGGCCCGTATGTCTTTGCCTTTGCACACCCAATATGTTTGCAAGGAGGGCAGGCCAGGCCACGCGGAGCTTTACGTCAATAAAGACTCTTTATCTTGTCCGTTCTCCTTTATTACACACACGCACACGCACACCCATGCCAGGCCGACAGCAGTTTTACAGCACCTCGTTGAGGCCTCCTGGCAGCCTATGCAAAGCAGCTGAAGTGTACAGTGTGAGGGAGCATGGGACAAGGATCCAGCAGTTGGTTTAAGGGGTGACTTGGGAATGGGGCAGGGCTGCGGCTGCGCCATGCCTCACTCTCCAGCCCTGGCTGCCACAGCTTGTGCCCAGGTGTGCCTGCGGGGGTCTGGGGGAGCCAGGCACCTTTCTCCAGCTCCCAGGGTCTTTAATGGGGGCCGTTTCCAGGGGCAGGGGTCATCCTCTGCTTCTCACCTTTAGGTGGGGTGCAGAACACGTTGGATGCTCGTTAGCACACAGAGGACGTGACACAGGCTGCTATGTGTTGCTGAAAATAGGACAGCATTGGCATCGGTAGGCCCCATAAGTTAGGCAGAGGAATGGTGGGGTGGAGACCTGGCAGGACAACCTTCATAGTCTGTATCATGAATATGATACTCAGACGACGGAAAGAGGTCACTGACCGAGGCTTAAAGAAAACTGTACTTGAGGTGAGCCCATGGTGCCTGCAACAAGCCAGGAAGAACTCAGAGCATGCTGGGTAGCAGGTGGCTTATGTCCAAAGTTTGAGGCACGAGGATCTCGTGTGGTCACAGCGTCAGAGATTGAGGTCCTGGCACGATGGGGGCCAGTGTGCAGTTGGATACTGTAGTCCTGCCTGCTGAGAGGTGGGCCAGGAGGAGCCAGAGTCGGTCTCACAACTCAGCACAGTGTTTTTAAAGACAGGGTCTCATGGTGTCTCAGGCTGGCCTCCGACTCACATCTCTGTCTCCTGGGTGCTGGGATCCCCAGAACAATCTTACCACACCCCTAAGCAGGAGATGAGAGGAAACGGAGCCTCCCAAGGTCCCTCCCACCTGGCAGAAGCAGAAGTCTGAGGTTAAAATCCCATGGCTCTTATTTGCATCCTGCAGGGAAATGACTCCCACAAGGATAAGCTATCTGTCCCAGGGAATGGTTGCCAGCTCACCCTTGGAATGCCCTCTGTGTAGTACATCTTTAAAACTCCCTTCAGCTGGGCATGATGGTGCTTGTCTTTAATCTCGGCAGTCAGGAGCCAGAGTGTTTGAGGCTAGCCCAGGCTTTGTAGTGAGACCCCGTCTCAAAGCAGCCTCATGGTCTGGCACTTGACTTTCAAGCTCTGGTCTCTGGGTTAGTCCAGAATAGACCACTGGGCCTCTGCCGCCTGCCCCCATACTGCCTGCACCGGGTCTCGTTGGCAAATCCGGGAAGGTACAAAGATCTATGTGGAAGCACTGGCTCCATCAGCACACTCTTCCCATCTTCTGGGTGTCCTGGTGGCTTAGGTGCCTGCCAGAGTGGAAGGTATGTGCTCTTGGCACTCGGATTCTCCGCCCTGCTGATCCTCCTGCCTGCAGTCATTTAACATAGAGGGTGCCAGCCTGTCTGTGCCCTCCTGGCTCCCATGCCCAAGTAGCTAAGGCCTACCCTTTGTGAGTTCCAACTGTCCCCATACTTGGTTCTTCATACGGTTATCCCAATTTATCATTGTCCATACTATTACCATTATCAGGCAACTTCTCCCTGACAGGCAGTTGTTAAATTTTCCCAGATCATGATCACAAATCTGAATTTTACTTCAAGCTTCCAGGAAGAGAATCAGGACATACACAGGAAAATCTGTGCTAGTTCCATCTCTCACCTGACAAGCTCCAGAGAAGCAGCCGACGGCAGGAGAGGCCAGTCTTGGCTCATGGTTCAGGGTGTCCAGTCCACAATGGTGGCCAGTGGACACAATGGAAGGCATGGTGGCCACAGCGACTCTGTCTGCAGTGGGGCTTGTATGCACCTTAGTGACAGGAAATGGAGGTGGCTATTGCCTTCAAGGCCCACTGGTGGCCAGTGGCCAAAAGGCTCTGCCGACTCCCAAAACAGCGCCACCATCTGGGGACCAAGTGTTCAAACACAAGCCTGTGGGAGGCCATTGGCTCGGTTTCACCTGAAGAAGGGACTTTGTAAACAGCAACTGTGTACAGTGGCTCCACCCCACAGCCGTGTGCTGAGATGGGGGTGGAGACTGTTTCCTGTGGTATCTCCCAACACTACACACCAAGCGAGTTATAAAGAAAAGAGGTTTATTTCAGTTCACAGTTCTGAAGTCAAGAGGTGGAATCTCATTCAGGGCATCTCATGGGAGAATGAAAGAGGGAGGGAGGGAGGGAGGGAGGCAGGGAGGGAGGCAGGGAGGGAGGCAGGGAGGGAGGGAGGGAGGGAGGAGGGAGGGAGGGAGGGAACGAAAGAGCATGCACGTGTGCGTGGATGTGTGTGGTGTGAGCATGTGTCTGGTTTCTGTGCGCAGCCACTATGATTCAGTCAGGGCCTACTCTAATGAATTTACCTAGCCCTGATCTCCTACCAAAGGCTCCTCTAAATACCACAGTGAGTCATTTCCTCCTTTTAATCCATCTCCAAAGGCATTCAACTCCCGCGGAGCTTCCCAGAGGGGGACACCACATTCAAACCACACAGGAAACGCTTCCCGTTTGCCTAGTCGGGTGCCGTGACATGTGGCTGGTTCGATTGAGGAGCTGAAGTTTTCGCTTAAAATGAGCACAGTTGTTTATTAGCATCTAAGTTTTGCGTCCGTATGTTTTTGTCAACGGCCTCCAGCCAGCGGGGAGTGGGAAAGAGTTAGAAAGGTTGGTATGACATATGTGGGGGTGCTGCGGGCGGTGGGCGCGGTCAGCCCGGTACTGTAGGCTGGGATTTTCCCAGCAGCCCTGCTGCCCTGGGAACCACGATAAGTCTTTAACTCCGTGGAAGGAAACGCTGCTTTAGGTTCATTCTGGTTCCAGCCTCGTGGGCGGCCGTGGAGCTCGTGAGTCCTGTTCAACCTTTCTGACATGGATTTCCCGCAAAGATCATTAAATAAAAACCGAAAAACAACCAAACCGCCCCAAATCACGGCAAGTTTCTGCCCTACCACGGGTGTGCTGAACTCTGTGGGTTTGCAGCGCCCGTGACGTCTCGGACTTGCCATGACGTCACACGTGAGCTCAGGCGACGTCAGTGTTCGTAGGACTGTAGGCCTGGCGCGGCCACCACTCTGAGGTGCAACAAGAGAAAAATGGGGGACGGAGCAAATGACACCCAGCTGCTCCTATGTCTGAAGGACCCAAGGTAGAAGGGCGACGGGAAGGGCCGTGCCCTGGTCCCTGCTGCCCCCTGGTGGCCTGAATTGTCCCAGCACCAGCCTGCGTTCCCAGGGCTCCCCAAGTGCAGCCCAGGTTCCCTGAGTCGACATCATCTTCCTCTGCCTTTCTCCCACAAATTCTCATGTACTGGGGAACAGCACAAGCACTCAGGGTACCCTAAACCCAGCGGTGTGGCGCCAGGTCAGTCTGCCACCTCTCTGAGATCACATCCTCATCTGTAAATGGTACCTGTCTCATGAGGCTGTGATGAGAATGAAATGCATCGCTTCGTGAGCCCTTGGAATGGTTCTTGCACACTTAATGCTTTAAAAACACTCGCTAAGCTTACTCTTAATGTCCTACTAAGTGTGTCTGAATGGTGTGGGGATAGGGCAGTAAATCATGGTCAAGGAAAATGACATCCTTGGGATCAAGGACAGAACAAGTCAAGTCCAGAATAAAATGTGCCCCGCTGTCACCACCCTGCGTCTGCGCATGTCCTGTCTCTGCACAGGGTCTGTGCAGAGTGACTCTTCACTGTTTCCCCTTTGCAGTCTTGGGGATGATGAACGAACACAGAGGCTCACAACAGGCAAGTACTCCATGGCTGAGCCACCCCACATCTCTGCCACTGCATAGCACCAACTTTTCAAAGGTCCAGCTCTGTCATCTCAGATCCTGCCCTGCAGACCCAGGCCAAGGCCCTCAGAGAACACCCCTCCCTAATGCTGTTAATTTGTGATCTGGGCTGCAAACAGCTGTATTGCAACTGTCTCTGGAGCCTGTCCCCTTTGTCCTCTTTGATGAACTCTGGTCCTGGTCACCTTGGCATGGTCCTGCCTTGATTTCCAGCTGGGCATCTCAGTTCAGGTGGTTCTACACAGTTGTCCTTTGCTGTCATGGGACACAGGCACACTGACCGTTCTTCCTAACCAATTCCTTCCATTCTGTATGTGGCGTACGGTGCTTTGAAGTCATATTGTGATCATGAAGAGAAAAGATAGAGATGGAAGACAGTGTAAATACAGCACAGTGGAGAAGGAAAGGTCCTTGAATCAGAAACCCGCCTCTTGATTCTTAAGCTGTGTGCCTTTGTTTAAACCAAAGCCTCTTTTGCAATGGTTAAGCAGTCTTTAACGTTGTGGTAGGCAGAACAGGGAACTCTGAAGACAGGCATGCCCTAGTTCCTGGCACCCATGAGCATGTTTCTGCTGGCAACGAATGCTATAGTCAGAATAAGAATTGCAATATCAAACCAGGGGCCTCCTTCCTGCCTTCAGTCACATATGATGGATCCCCCTCCTCTTTCTTTTTTTTTAAGATTTATTTATTACACATACAGTGTTCTGGCATGCACACCAGAAGAGGGTATGGGATCTCATTATAGATGGTAGTGAGCCACCATGTGGTTGCTGGGAATTGAACTCAGAACCTCTGGAAGACTAGCCAGTGCTCTTAACCTCTGAGACATCTCTCCAGGCCACCCCCTCCACTTTCAATGGGTCTTCTACACCTCAGGTGGGCTGCATTGCTGAGGTCTTTAACTATAGCCACACTGCTGTGTCCCGAGTCCAGAATCACGGACCCTGACATATCGTAGTTGCTCACCAAAACTGTCTTGGCCAGTGCTGGGTGTATGGTAGATGTTCCTCCCACACTCCGTGTGGTGCTCTGGCCTTCTCTCCCTGAGCCCTCTCTCAGTTCTCCTTCTCTGCTGATCGCCCACCTAGAGCAGCCCACAGCAGTGAGTGTGAGTTTCTGTTTCGGTGTCTGCACTTCTCTCCTGCTTATGGTAAAGTCTGCTTTCCATCTTGAGGAGACCAGGTTCCTTTTGAAAATAAAGTTAGTTAAATAAAGCATTAAAAAAAAAATCTAAGCCAGGCGGTGATGGCGCACGCCTTTAATCCCAGCACTCAGGAGGCAGAGGCAGGCGGATCTCTGTGAGTTTGAGGCCATCCTGGTCTACAAGAGCGAGTTCCGAGACAGGCCACAGAGAAACACTGCCTCAAAAAAACCAATAAATAAATAAATCTAGAGACTAATAACAGGAAAAGTGTAACTGGGGGTTGGGAGACAGCTCAGTGGGGGAAGTGTTTGCTAAACAAGCCAGAGGACCTGAGTTCGATCCTCAGGGCCCCTATAAAAAGCACCTGCGACCCCAGACGGAGGGAAGCAGCTGTGGGAAGATCCTTAGGCCGCTGGCAGCCAGTTTAGGAGAGTCAGAGAGCGCTAGGTTCAGTGTGAGACCCTGTCTCAAAAAGCCTGGTGCAGACTCATTGAAAGACACTCAGTGTTGACCTCTGGCCTCCGCACCCACACATGTGAGCGTACACAGTGTGTGGCCATGCACACAGGAAGCAATCCACAGCCAGGTCTCCCCACACCCACATATCACTGTTCGCCACTTCCCACTCCATAGCCTGTTAACTCTTAGCTAGTGGGACCTCGCCGCATTCTGCAGTTTCAGACTCCGGGCCTCCCTGGTGGACCTCCCTCTGCCCAGCCCAGCATTTCCACTTCTCCAGAGCCCTCCTGCTTCACGGGACCCCACGGTATCAGGTCAGAGTCTGTTCTCTTGATGACAGAGTGGCCTCTTTGGGGATCAGCTTGGTTTTTGTTTTTTTGTTTTTTTTCGAGACAGGGTTTCTCTGTATTGTTTCGGAGGCTATCGGTCCAGCCCGGCCTCGAACTCACAGAGATCTGCCTGCCTCTGCCTCCTGAGTGCTGGCTTGTGACTCCCAGTTCACGAGGCTTCTGTGGACCTGATCTCACCCTCAACTCTCCGTAGCAGCATGTGACTCCCGCGCAGCCAATCAGAGAGCCCCTTCGCTGGGAGTCACGTGGGGAATAGCTCCCAGAACTAGTACTGGACTCGCTAGGTGCTTTCTTTGGGCTCCACCGGCTTGCAGGCAACAAGCTCAGTCTTCTGATTACCCCACCACTCCCACTTTCGGTTCCCATGGAGACTTAGCTGCCTTACAAATGCAGCCCGTCCCAGAACCCACGACTTCCACTCTGAAGGAATTACTTCATCCCCTTGGCCCACTCATGTGTGAAACCACGCCTTAAACTTTTAAAACAATAAGCCAGTAAATGCACTTTATTTTATTTTGTTAGTTGGTTCAAGGTCTTGCTATGCAGCCCAGATCGTGCTGGAAGTAGCCTTTTGCTTCTGCCTCCCAAGTCCTGGAATTGTAGGTGTGCGTCACAACTCAACTTCAAAAGTCAGTTCTGGGCCTGGGAAAGTAGCATGGTGGGTCAGAAGCTTGCTCAGCAAGTGTGAGAACTGCATGATTCCTAGATTCCTAGAACGCTATAATCCAGGTATGGCAGCATATGCCTGACACTCAGCGTGGCAGTGGGAGCAGTGACAGTCAGATCCCTGGGGCTCACTGGCTAGTCTAGCCAAATGGATGAGCTCCAGGTTCGGTGAGAAACACTGCCAAGAAAATAAAGTGGAGAGTGATTGAGGAGGACACACATATGCACCTGTGCACACACTTGAACACCAGCATACACCGACACGTGCACACAAAATAGTTCTGTTCTTTGCAACCACAAGACTGCTGATTGAAACAGAGATTGGCCTTCTCCCCCCCCCCCTTGGGGGACATAGAAGCCCCAAGCTTCCTATGTAGCCAAGGATAACCTTAAACTTCTGTTCTGATGCCTCACCTCCTGAGTGCTGGGAATATGGACATATGCCTCCATGTGGGTTCATAAGGTACTGGGAATCCATGCTAGTGAACTTGGAGAGGAAAAGTCTGTTTGGCTTATACTTCCCAGTACCTTGGAGAGGAAAAGGCTGGTTGGCTTACACTTCCACATCTCATCACCAGAGAAGCCAGGGCAGAAACTTGGGGCAAGAACTGAAGCCTAAGCCATGGAGGAATGCTTTTATTGGCTTGCTCCTCATGGCTTGCTTAGCCTGCTTTCTTTTGTAGCCTAGGACCATCTGCCCTGGGATAGCACCGCCCACAGTAGGCTGGGCCCTCCCACATCCATCATTAATGAAGAAAATGCTGCACACACATGTCCACAAGACAGTCTGATAGAGGCAATTCCTCAGCTGGCTTCCTCTTACCCAGCAACTCAAGTTTGTGTCACATTGATGAAAAACAAACAAACAGAATAAAAAATATCCTGACCACCACAGGATGGAACCCAGGGCCTCATGAAGTTATCATTCTTTAAGACTGAATGCATGTAGCAGAAAATGTGCCATTTTAACTATTAAAATATATACTCTAGGGCTGGGGACATGGCTCAGTCAGTAAAGTGCTGGCAGGAGGAACCTGAGACTTGAGGTCTGTCCCCAGCACCCACGCAGGCACCTGTAAACCCAGCTGGGGGGAGGCCGAGACAGGAAGCTTCCTTCTGCTTGTTGACCAGCCTGTTTAGCTGAACTGGGGAGTCCCAGGTTCAGTGAAAATCTGTCTCAAAATATACTGTGGAGAGCGATGATGAAAACACTCAACATTGACCTTGGGCTTTCATATGCACATGCGTAATGAGACACGCACAGACACACACAGATACACAGACACACACACACACACACGTAGTCCAGCAGGCTTTCGTATACTTGCCATTAATGTTCCATCACTGTATAACTCCAGGACAATACCATTAACAGCTAGAAGCGCCACCATCCACCCACCCCCAGCAAATCAAAACATCATCTTTTCAGGCTCAGCCTTCAACATTTTTCCCTCTGAGGCTTTGAAAACAGAACTGAATATTCTATCCAAGTGCGTATCCCTCTTTTATCATTTATTAATCATTTTTGCTTCTTGGCTAAAATGAAATCTTGCTATGTAGCCTAGGCTGATCTGTAGCTCTTTTAAAAAATATAACATTCAAATTAATTTCTGAGGCTAGCATACATGAATACTTACAGTGCATTTTGATCATATTTACCCTCAACTCCTTCATCTAACTCCTCTCAGAACTACCCCCACCCTCACCCCTACTCAACTTCATGTCCTCTGTCTGTCTGTCTGTCTGTCTGTCTGTCTGTCTGTCTGTCTGTCTGTCTCTCTCTCTCTCTCTCTCTCTCCCCCCTTGGGGCACTTTGGGCTTCCCATACATTGCTGGGTGTGCCATCCCCTGGAGCATGGTTGATCTACCAGAGGCCATACCCTTAAAGGAAACTGGCCCTCCCTTCCTCAGATGCCATCAGAAGCTCCTCGGCTAGGGATGGGGCTCATAAGCCCCTTCCCGCTCCATGCTGGATTGTTGACAGGCCTGGGCTTGTGCAGTCTTGTGCAGGCAACCATAGCTCCGTCAGTTCACAAGCTGCAGTCCTGTCAGGCTGGAAAGACATGGTTCACTCTGGTTCTCCCCAGCCTCTGGCTCTTAGGATCTTTCCTCCTCCTCGTTCTCAATGGTCCCTGATGCCCCACTCTTGGCTGAGCACTCCACTGGCCATCTCTGCTCTTGGACCAGTTGTGAATGTTTGCATTAACCACTGTCCACTGTTACACAAAGAAACGTCCCTGATGAGCTGCACCAGTAGAGATATGAATTCAGAGGTCAGCTTGATACTATGTCCATTTAGCAAAATGATAGTAGTAGTTCACTCCACAGGCCTGGGGCTCTGAGTCTCCCGGCTCAGCCTCACAGATGTGTACACCCATACTGGGCTCGTTCATCCTTGTAATAATGTAATATTTTTTTAACAAATAGAAAGTATGATTCCTATTCATCTCTTAGTGATATCCTGGATCCCAGGGCTTATGTTTACTCTTTCTTCTGTCCCAGTCGCTGGCCCAGGACCAGGCTAGCATAGGTGTTAAGTAAAACAAAATAAAATAGAAACAAGGGCCCCTCCAGCTGCTCATCCCTGGGTCAGACAGAGACATAAAAATTCTTAAGACAACATTTGGATTGCATAAAGGGCTGTGGCAGGGAGGAGTGGAAGGGACTTTAGCAGAACTGATCCCTTTTCACACGAACAATTCATTAAACCCAGAACTAAAACTGACAGTTACTTGCCATGGCTGGGTACCCACTAAAACCACCCCCAGCTGCATCCGCACCTACTTCAGACACTTCAAGGTAAAGGAACAGAGCGGGCATCTTGGGCATGGTGACTTTCTCATGGAGCTAACAGTATTTATGATGTCTCCAGAAGATCGTCTGGGGATTTCCATGAGTGGGTGCTTGCACAGCCTTGAGAGCAGTGCAGGTTCCTTTAAGAACGTTGCTAACTGAGGCTGGTGAGGCGGCCTAGTGGGTAAAGACACTTGCTGCCTAGTCTGCCAACTGGGGGCCCACATGGGGGAAGGAGAGAACCAACTCCCACAAGTTGGTCTCTGGCTTGTACATATGCCCCATGACACATGGATGGACACACGCACGCGCGCGCACACACACACACACACACACACACACACACACACACACACACACGCACGCACACTCTGCTAACTGGAGATAACTCATGTGGGACACTTGCTTCTTCCCGGGGCTGAGAGAATGACCTCATCACCTTTCAGCTCAAATGTCACCACCTTCAGGAGGCTCCTGGGCCTTGGTCAGATGTGTGTCATCTGGGTCCTGGGCTTCTTTCTCAGCCTCAAAAGGAGCCCAGCACAATGTGGGTGCTCCCTTGGTGAAAGAGCAAGTCACACCACCACCCCATCCAACTGGGCGCCATCCTGTCCTAGCACCGAAACTCTGGCCTTGTCACCATGTACCTCTGCATCCCCCGACTCCCCTTGATGCTGACTGTGATGGAGATTCAGTCACAACATCACAGGGTCAGCTTCTTTCTTGTCAAATACCACCTCACAGCACATCACAGTTGTGACCAGGAACTTGGTTGTTTCAGTCTCCTGGTGGCATGCCATCCTGCTGCCTGGCCACTTTTCCTCTCCTGGTTAGCTCCGTCCTTACCCTGAACTTCTGTAGGACCTGGCCTGGTCCTTCTTCACCCTGCTCCCTTCCCAGCGTGTAAGCAACAGCTATCAGTAACTGCTTGTTGTTTGACTGCCAGTTCTCAGTAAATATTCTTGTGAGAGTTTGACCTTTTTGATGTGGGGAAACCACGGTAGCCAGTGCTTTCAGTAAAGCAGGGCCTCTGTGAGGAAGGGAGTCTCTGCCGAAACTCACCACAGCTGCCTGGAAGCAGAGTCATCACATCCCCGCCTCCCTGTGGGCACCCATTCTCAGGAGACCCAGCGGCTGCGAACCATGGCAGACTACAGGGAGAGGAGGAGGCCCCGGGACAGAGGGGTGACGCTGAGCAGCTTGCACGCATGTGGACAGAGTGGTGACGCTGAGCAGCTTGCACGCATGTGGACAGAGTGGTGACGCTGAGCAGCTTGCACGCCTGTGCGCATGTGGGCATGGACCTATCTGTAACGCACTTGGCACTCATCCCTGGGAACATCGTATGCTCTTAGGGGACTGATGTAGGCTCAGGGTCCTTGGGGAGCTCAAAATGGTTCTAGTCTCTGTATTGTACAAGACACCATCCATTCGCGCCCAGGGCCCAGTTGTGCGTGCTCATGTGTGTGTGTGTGTGTGTGACATGGGTGGGGTTGACACAGTCACTTGATACACAGCTTCCACAGCAGAGGAAGCATGTAGAAGTGGGGGCTCCCTCAGATTTGGCCACTGCCTGTTTATCTTTTCCTAGGCAAGGTGATGCAAGCTAGGCCTCCATTTCTCTCTCTGCTTTATTCTCAGCTCCTAGCATAGCGTAGGGCATGCAGTAGACGCTTCATAAATATCTGTTCTTGTGCAAAAAATGTACACACATGCCCCTCTGCACATTGCCACTCTCTTGTACATGTGTGTAGGCATGTGGATGAGGACACGTGAACCTATGTGTCTCTGCTAACCTGTTAGTCATGTATGATGAAACTCATGCTATATAGGGATCCATGTCTATGGCCTGTGGATGTGTATATATGTATATATACATGCATACATACATGAGCAATCAGGGGCAGTGTTCACATGACAACTGGCACGTGATGCCTGTCAGATATGTTCTTTCCATGCAGGGGGCTTGCATGAGCATTTGTGAGGCAGGCTAAAGGACTGCTCTGGTCCCTGTCCTGGCGAACTCCAGCTCATTCATCTCTGGCTTAGTGTCTGACCCCTTAACTTTTCTTCTTAAGTCTCTCTCCTGAGCCACCTTGGACTCCAGGAGCAATACGATTGAAAAACATCCTCATTTCAAGAAACTGAAATTACCCCAAAGGAGAGACAGAACCCCCCAGGTGATGGAGTTGTCTTTGGTGAGCATCTGCACCTGAGTAGCATCTCAGGGGAACCACAGTGCCCCTTGGGAGATGACAGCATACTCATTACAAGACCATCCTGCAGGACCGGAACTGAGACCATGACTGCCCAGGCCACCTGCCCAGGGTGACTACCACACAAGCCTCCTGCCCTGCCCCCAACTCTCCCTCTTCTTAAACATAAAGCTCAAGCCAGGGTCCCAAAGACAAAGATGGACTCAGGGTCACTGGACATTCCCTTATCTCTTCCTCCTCTGCACAGAGGAATCTCCCTTCTCTGCTTTTCACCGTTACTTGTTTCTTTGTTGGGGAGGAATCTATTGACATTGGTAGGGATGGTGGTTTGTCCTAGTCTAGTGGACAGTGTTGTGACTAGCAGATACAATTTGGAAGCCAAATGGCAGGCCCCAAACCCCTGCTTCTTATATAGGTGACATAGGCAAGTTAAATTCTATGTGCCTCAGTTTCTCCATCTGTGAGATGGGTCCATCATAACATCTGCCTTTTAGAGCTGTTTGTGGAGAGGAGAAATGAGTAAGTGCTCAATGCATTCTCTGCTGTTATTGCCTGTGTGTTGTACATACTGTATAGCCATGCTTTGTATACTATAATAAAAAGGTGTGAGTTTTGTTTTTTTGTTTTTTTGAATTTTCAAGACAGGGTTTCTCCTGTGTAACTTTTCTGGTTGCCCTGGAACTCACTCTGTAGACCAGGCTGGCCTAGAACTCAGAGAACCGCCTGCCTCTGCCTCCCAAGCGCTGGGATTAAAGGTGTGCACCACCAATGCCCATCTAAATAGAATGTTTTTAATGAATTTTTCTTCATTATGGTCATGTTGCACAGCATGCCGTGCGAGTCGGAGTGTGGAGTCTGTCTCCCTCTTCCCCAGCGGGATCTGGGCGTGACTCACATCGGCAGACTTGTGCAGCAGGTGCTTATGTTGTCTTCAGAGAAAACCAGTTTTTCCTTCCTCCTGGTCTCCTTGCCCTTCTCTTCTTTTTAACATCCGGCGCCATCATCCACAAGTAGGAGACGCTGAGCTGAGCCCATTTGGGTGGTGCTGGGGGTGCCCATTGCTGAGTCTGTTCTTCCACCAACAGTGATAAAACTGGAAGGACGGGGGGACTGGGGAGTCCAAAAGGAGCCAAGCTGCTGAGAAGGGAACCTAAGGGTGTGAGCCCTCTGCTGACTCTTGCAACTCTCCTGGCCTAACCCCTGGCTTAGCTCTGGGCCCTGGGCTCTGAGGCTGGTCTCTGCCCACTTGTGCCTTGATGTCAAGGAAACCAGCAAGGAGAGCTTAGTATGTTCATAACAAGACTGGGCAGGGTGAGCACAGAGGAGGGCAGATCTCCTGACATGGTGGTCAAGAAGCTTCCCAGGGGAGGCGTTATCTAAGTGGAAACACAAAGAGAAAACTGTCATCCAGGAGACGGCAGGGCTGTCCACTGGGCACAGGCATTGTCCACACAAAGGCCAAGGAAGCTGACTGATGACAAGGACATGGAATGCCAGGAGGGGGCTGGTGGCCACACATGGGCCTGGGAACTAGAAGGGTCTTGTCACTTTAAGGCCAGCCTGACTCAAGTCTGGCAGGAGCATCTGTGTCCTGGGTGAGTCCTAAGCAGCAGGGCAGAAAGCCTTAGACAGTTAATTCCATAAGTGTCTAGTGAACACCTCTAGGTGCCAATCCCTGTTCATATGAATCAGGGTCAAGTGCAGGAAGCAGATAGTCAGGGAATGTCACAGGGACACATAGCATAGCGTGGATGACCTTAGCACTGGGCAGGACCAGCAGAGGAGGAGTTGGAGAAACCTGGATCTCGATGGGTAGCTAGGGAGACCATGATGACAAAGGGCTTTTAACCACATGGTGAATGAAGTAAAGGAATAAGCCACACAAACATCTAGCATCACTGGTGGAAGAGACAGCCAGAGCAATGGCCTTGTGAAGGAATCTAGAGCAGCATGAACAAGGAGAGAGGAGAGGAGTGGAGGGGCCGGGGACCCCAGAAGGGATGCAGGCTCAATGTGCCGATGCAGAGCAGGCCTTGGAAACTCAGCCACAGATATGTACTGTTCCCGTCTCTAATGTAGAATGATGGCTCTGGCTACAATGAGAACAGAACATTTTAGTAAAGGGGCCCAGAGGTCAAAGAAAGCCCATGTCTGTCACTTGGGTAGGGACACTGGTGGCTTAGCACAGGTGGTAGCTGTGGTTTGGAGAGGTGGGTTGTAGATATAGAACCAGCAGTAATTGTGTTGTGTGTGTGTGTGTGTGTGTGTGTGTGTGTGTGTGTGTGTGTGTGTGTGTGTGGTGGTGGTTTGGGACAGGGTTTCTTTGTGTAGCTTTGGAGCCTATCCTGGCACTCACTCTGTAGGCCAGACTGGCCTTGAACTCACAGAGATCCACCTGCCTCTGCCTCCCAAGTGCTGGGACTAAAGGCGTGCGCCACCACCTCCCGGCAGAACCAGCAGTAATTCTTAGCGAGGGAGGCTATTGTGGTGAGAGCAAGCAGGCATCAACAACAGTGTGCCGTGGGCAGTGTGCCGTGGGCAGTGTGCCGTGGGCAGTGTGCCGTGGGCAGTGTGCCGTGGGCAGTGTGCCGTGGGCAGTGTGCCGTGGGCAGTGTGCCGTGGGCAGTGTGCCGTGGGCAGTCTGGGGCCAGCTCCACACTGCTGTGGAGTATCCCTTTACACTGCGTGAAGATGTGTCACTGTGACCAATTTAGCAAAAAAGCTAAGTAGCCAATAGCAAGGCAGGAGGAATAGCAGGTACTTCTGGACAGAGGGAGCTCTGGGAGGAAGAAAGGCAGAGAGACCAGCCAGATGGAGAGGAAGCGGGACACAGAGTACAGAGTAAAGGCAACTGAGCCACATAAAAGAACGGATATTTAAAAATATGGGTTGATTTAAGTTATAAGAACTAGTTAGGAACAAGTCTAAGCTAAGGCCCAGCTTTCATAATTAGTAATAAGTCGCTGTGTTGTTTTTTTTTGTGAGCTGGCAGCCCCAAAGGAAAAGTCGGTCTACGCCTCACACCCTCAGGCCCCACCTTTAACCTGGCCCAGGAACAGGTAATTGGTCTCGGGGCACACAATCCTATCCTCTCTCTCCACTGTTCTTCCAGTCTTCCAGGAACACCATCATGCTTGCCCTGGGGGAGTCTTCACTAGAATCTGTGGTTCTTGGCCTGGGGGAAGTTTGGGCATCTAGAGGACCCTTAGAGATATTTGGAGACTCTTCTGGTTGTCACAGCCTTCGGTGAGAGCATGGTTCAGGGACAGACCTGAGAATGTCCAGGGTAGCTTCATAGTGAAGGTTGATTATGCAACTGCCACAGAGGAGTGACCTATCCACATGACACCACAAGGGTTCAGAGCCTGGGCCCCACAGCCTCCAGCAGGTCCTCTCAGGGACCACTGAGGACTCCGACCCTTCTAAAAAAAGAAGCAAACCTGTGCCCAGGAGGCAGTGGGCAACTGCAGTGAGAGTTTTACACAACACAGGCTGGTTTCTGGAAAACCGAATGGGGTATTTTCTGTGGCTCCTGTCCCTTCCATCAGCCCTGGCCCTCTTTGGTTGATGGTCTTCAGGCGCCTCAGGTCCTCAGCCCAAGGCTCTCTCCTCACTCTAGAATCAGCATTCATGCCTACCGAGTCCCTCCCTGTGGAAGGTCCCTCCCAGCTCCAGCCTTACCACTTCCTCTCCTTCTCATAGCCACAGGGTCCTCCACCCCCACCAGGACCTCACCATTCCCAGAATAGGCCCTGCAGCCACCCATGCCTGTGGCTCATCCAGCCACTGAATCTGGGTTGGGTGCTGCCCTCTGGTCCTCCGTACTGTTCTTCCCTGGTAGTCCCCCGACCCCAGCCTCACCACCTTAGCTTTTCTTTCCCCTCAGTTGGTTTGCTGTCACCTCCCATCTTCTCAACAGAGTCCCCTTCACCTCTTCTCTGTGTAGACTGCAGGGTTACTGTACCCACAGACCCCACACTTCCCATCAGCAGCCCAGTTCCCCCTTTCTCCTTGCAAGTCTTATCGCTCCTCACTTACTTAGACTTGGAAAGCCTGATTCTGTATTTGGAGATGTCTTGGGGTGCCCTCCTCTGTTGTGAATAATCTTTTTGTACACTGTGAAGATGTGTCACTGTTACTGATTTAATAAAAAGCTGAGAGGCCTCTAGGCAGTGGTGGTGCACACCTTTAATCCCAGCACTCGGGAGGCAGAGGCAGGCGGATCTCTGTGAGTTCGAGACCAGCCAGCCTCCAAAGCCACAGAGAAATGCTGTCTCAAAAAAAAAAATCTGAGTGACCAAAAGCTAGGCAGGATTTCCAGGCACAGAAGACACTGGAAGGAAGGGCAGAGAGGCCAAGAGTTGTCAACTCATCTGATAGACAAAATGGTGCGCTGAGGAACACTGCTAAGAAAAAATAGGGGACACTTCACTGGACAAGCCACAGGAAGGAGATCTAGGGACCCAGGAGGAAGGCTGGGCTGCTCATCATGGAACTAATATTGGGAACGTTCTCTTCACTCGCTCAGTTACCTGTGTGTTTGCTTTCAGTGGCCATATAGAAAGGAAATACTAACAAATAATAGTACACTCTGTTATGTATGAAAGAGCAGAGGAGACACAGTCACCCTGCTGTCATCCCCTGCCCCTTGGTTTATAGCAGACTCTGAAATCACATCAGCAGGGAGATGATTGAGAACATGATACAAGTGCCTCAGAATTTTGAAAATCTCTTCCCATACTAGACTCCCCATCTAGAAGTGGGCCAGCACGCCTAGATGCCGATTCATCTGATGAATGTTTGCTAAGCTCATCCAGAGTTAAAATTTAAGTCAAGTAGTAGATCTGTATGTTGAGGAGGTCAGAAGAGCAGCAAGACAGATGTAACTCACCACAAACAGGATCCAGAGTCTTGCTCATGCTGGTCTAGAACTCATTATGTTAGCTAGGCTGTCCTTGGATGTAGGACAATCCTTTTGCCACAGCTTCCCAAACACTAGGACTGCAGGTGTGAGGCATTACAGATGACTTTGTAGTTTTTATTTCTTAAAACTCCTTGTTTCCCATATGACTCAAAAATCAAATGCCTAAGTTGGGTGTGGTGGTGCACACCTTTATTTCCAGCACCCAGGAGGCAGAGGCAAACAGATATCTGAGCCTGTTCTACAGAGAAAATTCCAGGACAGCCAGGGCTACACAGAGAAACCCTGTCTCAAAAAACCAAAGGGGGGGGGGAACCTGCATAGACAATAAATACAGAGCTGTTAATGGGTGTTAAATAAAGGTGCGATTTGTGACAATAATAATATATAGAGGGAAGCTGTGGGATATCTAGAACTCTCCTCTTCTCTTCTCCCTCCTGTGTGTGTGTGTGTGTGTGTGTGTGAGAGAGAGAGAGAGAGAGAGAGAGAGAGAGAGAGAGAGAGAGAGAGAGAGAGGGAGGGAGGGAGGGAGGGAGGGGGGATATGAGTGTGTGTGTCTGGTCTGTGTGTGTATGCTTGTGTGCTCTCTCTTTCTCTCTCTCTCCTTCTCCCTCTTTCTCACTCTTCCTCTCTCCTTCCCCCTCTCTGGTAGGGTCTCACTGTATAGCTCATGCTGCCCTTGGATTTGTGACTCTCCAGTTCAGTCTGTCATAGTCTTGGATCACAGGCTGACCACACCCAGTAGAAGTAGAGTTTTGAATGTTATTAATATCAAATTAAACTAAACTCAAATTACGTCTTTTTCCTTTTTTATTAAATTTTTAAATTTATTTTACATACCAATCACTGTTTCCCCTCCCTCCTCTCCTCCTGTTCCCTCCCCCCACCTCCTTTCTACCCACCCCCCATCTACTTCTCAGAAAGGGTAAGGCCTCTCTCTCATGGGGAATCATCGAAGCATGGCATATCAAGCTGAGGCAGGAACAAGCTCCTCCCCACTGCATCAGGGCTGAGTGAGACATCTCACCATAGAGAATAAGTTCCAAAAAGCCAACTCATGCACCAGGGACAGATGCTGGTCCCACTGCTAGGGACCCTACGAACAGACCAAGCCATACAATTGTCACCCACATGCAGAGGGCCTACGTTGGTTCCATGCAGGCTCCCTAGCTGTCAGTCTAGAGTCTGTGAGCTCCCACGAGCTCAGGCCAGCTGTCTCTGTGTGTTTCCCTGTCATTCAAATTATGTCTTTATAAAAATTCCTTGTGCTGAATGCAAACTCAAAGATAATCACTAAAAATAATTTTAAGAAACAGACAGACATGAAATGAGGAGAGTATATAAATGATACTGTAGGAGAAAAATCAATCAAACACTAAAGATGGAGGGAGATACTGAGGGAACTGAGTGACAGGCAAAGAAAAATAGCAAATGCAGAGCAATCTCTGCTTCAGATGTAAGAGTAAAGGGTGCTTAAGATACAGAATGGATTGAAAAGCATCACCCAACTACATGCTGCCTACAAGACACAAATCGGTTTAAAGTGAAAGGATTAAAGGGGGCATTTCATGCAAAGAAAAACCAATAGCGTTGAGTAGTTATACTATAAACAATAGACCAAGTTTAAGGAAAATTATTTCAAAAGCTAAACAAGATTATATGCTAATAAACATGTAAACTCATGGAGAATATATAATAACTGTATTCATCTGCATCCATTATTGGAACTCAAGAATAGATGAAGCAAACATCCACAGAACTGAACAGGAATGCAGGTGTTATACCATGGTAGTTGGCAGCTTCAATGCCACGCTTTCAATAATGGGGAGATCAGCTAGGCAGAAGGCACTGACTAAAGGAAATTGGAATGATTAAAACAAAACAACAACCAGTTAGAGCAACAGAAAAGCATAGCATCCCCATCAAAATCAGGCACGGTCAGAACAGACATAGCGTTCTACCAGGCACATCATGTGTTAAGTCACAGAACAAGTCTTCATGATTGCGGTAGCTTGAATGAAAATGACCCCAGTAGGCTCATATATTTGAATCCTTAGACATCAGAGAGTAAAACTGTTTGAGAAGGATTAAAAGAACTAGGAGGTATGTATGGCCTTGTTGGAGGAATTGTGTCGCTTCAGGGTGGGCTGTAGGTTTCAAAAGCCCACGCTACTCCCCGTTAGTCCTCCTTTTTGTCTTGTGGATCTGTTGTGAGCTGTCAGCTACTGTCCCTGCACCATGCCTGCCACTCTCCCCACTAATGTAGTTATGGACTCACCCTCTGGACCGTGAGCTCCAATAAGCTCTTCTCTAAGTTGCCTCGGTAACCATGTCTCTTCACAGCAACAGAAAAGTAACTAAGACAATGAACTTAAAAAGACTGAAATTGTCAGGGGTGGTGGTGCACACTTTAATTCCAGGCACCATCTTCATTTCTCCTTTTATTTTAATTTTCTATCTTTCTTGCTCAGTCTAGGTTTATTAAACTTTTCCAATTACTGTTCAAAGAAATAACTTTTGGTTTTGCTGATGCTCTCTTCTGTTTCTCTGGTTTTTATCTCCACCCTAACATGTATTACTTAATCCTTCTGCAAGCATCGGGTTTCATTTTCTCTTTCTAGTTCCTTAAGGCGTACAGTCAAGGATCTGGAAAGATGACTCAGCAGTTAGGAGTGTAATCCTCCTGTAGAGGACTTGAGTTCACTTCCCCATGTCCATCTTAGACAGCTGGTAACCACCTATAATTCTGGCTGCAGCGGAATCTGACAGCTCTGCCTCTTCTGGCAGCTGCACACGTGTATGCACACAATTAAACATCAATAAAATAAAATAAAATAAAATAAAGGCCAAGATTCCAGAGTTTGTGGCCGCTGAAAATCATGTAAAAGAGTATAGTTCGGTTATTTTAATGAATGTATCTGCAGCAATAACTCTCTTGAATTTCAATACATTCCCCCATAAGTTTTGGTATGCTGATGTTTTGTCTTTCCAGCACTGTGACAAAACGCCTGAGAACTCAATTTAAAGAGAGGAAAGACTGATTTTGGCTCAAGGTTTCAGAATCTTCATACTCCAGGTAGCTTTTGAACCATGTAGCCCATCACTAAAACTGAGTCAAAAAGAAAAGGAAACTCTTAATAGACCTAACATGTAGGAAGTTGAACTGGTAACCCACAAAACTCCCAGCAAAGACAAATCAATGCCAAGCATTGAAAGGGTTAACCTCATTCCTTCTCATCCTTTTCCACAAAATAGAAGAGGAGAAAATGACTCCTAACTTACTATGATGCTAACTCCAGACAAGGACGCCAGAGGGGGAAATTAAAACAAATAAACAAACAAAGAAAAACTACCGAATAACAGTCCTTATGAACATAGACACAAAATTCCACAAGAGTGCTGGAAAAAAGTTAGTACCCAGGTAAACAGACTGTTACCTGTTAATATCATCCAAAATCAAGAAAAAAAAAAAAAGAGGCCACCATTCATCCATCCAAATGCTTCTCAGTGTTAGGAAGCACACCTGTTACAATCCTTCATTGCCATGGGATAGTTTTCAACAAGGAAAGTGAGTGCAGTGTCATTTATACTACAAGTCAGCTAAGTCAAACTCTATTCTGAGTGAAAGGGACTATATATAAAAGATATTACTGTCATCAACACATGTGACATTCCCAGAAAAGAAGTGCAGCCAGAGACGTGGATGAGCATATCAGGCGCACCTGGCAGTGCAGATGGGGCTGACATCACACACGAGGGCTCTGGTTAGTTGGTGGAATGTTCCACCAACTTAGCTACAGTCATGGGTGTCCAATTTGCCACTCTGACAAAAAAATCATTGAATTGTACACTTGCAGTGCCCAAAATATACGTTAAGCAAATCTCTTTTCAAAGAAGTGATTTTAAAAAATTAAAAAGAGGAAGTAGGTTAGGGAGGACTTATCCTGTTATTTCTTCTCAGAAGACCCCTGGGCAGAAGAACAGAGTGACCATTTTCTCCTCTTGGCCAGCTCTGCTATTTGGAGTGCTGGGAAGGTGTGTGAGAGCCTCCAAGATCTCTCCAGGGATAACAGCTACACGCTGATGACTTTTACAGAGTCAGAAAGACCCTCCCCTGAACACAATTCTACTTCAGAGGTCAATGCTCATTCACCCAGCTGCACATGACCAGCTCTCAACTATCCCCATAAATACCGGGGGACTAAGCAGCCTTGACTGTATACCCCACCCACCTACTTCATGCTTGGAGCACTGCCCCTGCCCCCTGCCTTGAGTCAGTATCTTAGTATGTAGCCAGGCTGGTCTTGAACCTGATGTTCTGCATCAGAGTCCTGAGTGCTGAGATCACTACACTGGGCCATTCTTTCATGGGTGTAAATTGGATAGAGTTGCTCCTCTGCAAACTCTATGGGAGTTCTCATTTCCATCCAAACCAAATCTGACTTCCCAACTCCACCGGCAACAAGCCCAGAGGGGAGCGTCCTATGTGGCTCTGGTCCTCCACTCTGTGTTCTTTCCCATCCTAGAGCCGTTGCACGCGTGCATCCTGCCTCACTTGGTGCCCTCATGATGTCAGTCTGCTTCTCTGCTAGAAAGGGCTGTTACTTCTGCACCTTCTGTGGAATTTCCTCAGGACATACCCTCGGGCCCACTTGATAAGAAAGGAGGGAGGGAGGGAGGGGGTGAGCTGGCTGAGTTGGCAGAGGAGTGAACCAGTGGGCAGGTGGTGGAGAGTGGGCAGAGCACTGACTGCCTCCTGCTCACATTTATTCACACTCAGAAGCAGTTGGTGAGTTGGAGGGAGGGTGACTGTGGAGTTCAAATCCTAGCTCTGCTACTCCCTGGGTGTAACCTTGAGCAAGTTCCTTAGTCTGTAACCCAGGGAAAGTGAGAATTCAGACAGCAAGGCCATCTTCAGTGTCTGGGTCTCTGCGTGGGAAGGGAGAGTGCCACTGACAGCATGTGACTGTGCAGTCCAGCTCCCTGCTCCACACCAGGAACTTGCAGACAGTAACTCCTCTACCATCCTGCTTTTGGGTTTTCTCAAACTCCAGGCTAAGGCCGCAGAAGATGCCCTGTGAAGATCAAAAGATGAGAAAAAGAAAGAAAATCAGAAAAGGGAGAAAGTAAAGCTAGTTCCCTCAGACAAACTCTCCCCAGACATGAGGTTCAGGACTCAGGGAAGCCTGGAGCAGACACCAACCATGGGGAACCCTGTAGAAAGCTCGACAGACACAAAAAGTGGAATGCTCTCTCTTAATCTGATCAGCCATGCCTGCTGCTGTCAGTCATTTTGCAAACACTTGTCAGTGTGAAGATAGTGGTGTGTGTATCTGAGCCAGTTGAGGCCCTGGAGACAGCTCAAAGCCACCCTAGCCCCTCCTGCAAACCTCTGTCGGACTGTACTCCTTTTAGATTCAAATGAGCTGGCTTCAAATACTGGCTCCAGTGCTTCAAAAGCTGGGGGCTGGTTTCCTCTCCTGTGTTGTGGAATAATTGTTGAAGATGTGTTACATTCCCTTATGCTGTGGAACATTTGTCTAATGAGGCAAAGATGTGTTGTGTACTTTTATGTTGCACTTGCTAAACTCTGTGAAACTGTGCTACTCTGCCTGTCTAAAACACCTGATTGGTCTAATGAAGAGCTGAATGGCCAATGGTGGGGCTGGCAGGAAGAGAGAATAAAAAGGAGAAGGCTTGAGAAGAAGGAGCAAGAGAGGAGAGGACACCAGGGGCCAGCCATCCAGCCACGCAGCAAGCCACGGAGTAAGAAGTAAAGAAAGGTATGTAGAATAGAAAAGCTTAGAGGCAAAACGTAGATGGACTAATTTAAGAAAAGCTGGCAAGAAATAAGCCAAGCTATATCCAGGCCATCATATGCAAGAATAAGTCTCTGTGTGATTATTTGGGAGTGGGGTGGTGGCCCTCACAAAGAGTAAAAAATAAGTCAACAACACTCCTGAGTCTCAGTCTCTTCATCTGTGAAACGGGAGCAGGTCTGTCTACCTCCCACAGTCTGTGAGGGGATGGTGGTTCTGTTTGGCTCTCCCTCTGTGTGGCTGCTGGGTAAGAGTTGCCTGACTTCTGTCTTCTGGATTCCAAATGTCTTCTCATCACCTCTCTTCTCCTGGACTTCTCGTTTGCTTCAAGACAAGAAAAACAGTCTGAAGAACTCCTTTTCTACCCCACCTGTCAGAGAGAGATGTATCTCCACTGCCATCTCCACTGTATCTCAGGGCTGGGTGAGCTCAGTCTGCATGCTTCACAGATAGTCAGGAACGGCTGTGGATCCCGCTCAGCCCATGCTTCTGTCCCAGGCCAGAGGACCCTGAGGATCACAAAGAGAGGGCCTCTCCTTTGGGTCCCCAGCTGAGAAATGTACAGCCCCTGCTGGAGACCAGGACAGTCATGAGGGGAAGGGGACTGAAGATACCCCGTCTCCAGAAGTGCAAAGTGAGAGATCTGATTATTGGAGGAACCCATGGGACTGGCCCTCGCCTTGCTTATTGTGCATGTTGCACTTGAATTGCTTTGAAACGTAGACAAATCTTGCTTCTCGTGGCTGTGTATCTTGAGGGGATAGATGCTGGAGCTGGCTGAAAACCTAGGGGCTGCCTCGAGAGTGACCACAGCCCGGTCACTGGGGTCAGTCAGATCAGAGCCCCTTTCACCTGTAGAGTGCTGAACAAATCATCTCCCTTCACAGGCTGAGCAAGCGCTGGCCTGCCGGGTGTGGGTTCAGGGAGACCGAGTCAGGACCAGAGTGTCAGTCTGCCCAGGACAGATATCATCTTATAAATCAGCTGAAGAGATGAGGGGATTTGGAGGCAAGTCTTGGAGGACCCTGAAAGCTGCTGTAAAGTTACAGGAGACACCCTTGGACTGATAAGGCTGAGGCAGGAGGTTATCTGTGGTTTGACAGGAATGGTGCCTTAGCAGGGTCAGGAAAAGGTATGGAAACCCCACTACATTGAACCGACTTGAATTTTCAATAATAAAGTCCTTTGTCTGAAAAAAAAGAAAGATAGAAAAGAAAATTAAAGGTAGAAAGGAAGGAAGGAAGGAAAGAAGAGAGGGAGGGAGGAAGGGAGGGAGGAAGGAAGGAAGGAAGGAAGGAAGGAAGGAAGGAAAAGAATTTCTTTCTTTCTTGAATTCCCATCTGTGTGTGGCTGCCCTGCCCTCCTGACTGGGTGTCCACACTTGACAAATGGACACAGCCAAGCTCATAGGAAGTGCCTCAGGTCTCTTTCCTCCAGGGCGGTGGAGAGAGTCCTCCTTCCCACAGTGCCGAGGCAGGGGGACAGGGCTTAAGGTAGAAAGTCTGGGTCATGCTGAAGTCATGCTGAGGGGGCAGGCAAGGAACAGAAAAATAATGGACCGCTTATTCACCTGCAGAAGAGAGGTCACAGAGCGGGTGTCCAACCTCTGCCTCTCCCATCTGAGCTGAGGGGCTCAGTATGGATGCCAGGGCTTCCGGTGGAGGCACGGCCTCTTCACACCCGCGGTCAGTTTCTACATCCGTGAGAAGTGGCGAGTCCCACTTCACTGCCTGCCTCATGGGACATGACTGTGAAGCCTGTGGGATGACGTCATCTGTCTGTGAGATGTTATCCCGCAGGCCCCAAATGTCTTGTTAAATGGTAACCTTTGGGAAGCCGTGGGCGCCTGCCTGCAGGTGTCTTAGTTTTTCTCGCCCCTTCTGGAGGACCTGGCTGGGCTGGGCGGGCACTGCTTACCACATCCTCTCGATCCCCACCCCTTGCCTGGCCTCAGACAGACACCACAGCCTCTGCTGGTGGCCCTGTGTTTCAGGCAAGTGCAGCTGCCTGCCTACTTCTCCTGGAGTGTGCCGGACAGACGCTTGCCTGTCTGACAGCAGGTCTGTCCATCCCTGGGGCGGCTCACTCGCCCTAGCCCAGCCCCAGCCCCAGCAGCCTCAGCTCCAGTCCTAGTCACGTCCTGTCTCAGTCTGGCTGTCCCAGCTCTGCTGACTCCCTCTATGTGAGTCCTGCCTAAATGTCCGGCTGACCCTCAGCCCCAGGACTGTCTCGGTGGTGACTCTCTTAGATTCTGGACTTGCACCTGATTGGTCCCCTGCCCACCTTAAATCCATACCATCAATCACTCTGAGTCCCACTGTGACTCCCAGCTCCAAGCGGCTACCCGATTGCACCAGTCTGAGGAATGGCTTTCTGAGGAGGACCTTAAAGAACCAGGTAAGTAGACTCTAGCCCTGGTTCTCCCTGAGCCTGTGGTCCTTCTCTGCCTTTTGGATAGCGCTGTGGCGGAACTCTGAGCTGTCCTGTGCCTGTGTCACAGCTGGGGACACAGAGGCAGAGAAGGCTATGCAGTTAGACTGGGCAGAGTCAAGGCTGGGGTTCCCTGTTCAGCTGACTTAGAGTGTCTGGGGGCCTTAGTGTGTGCTCGGGGATGTCGGAGGGTTGTGGAAGCTGGGGCATGGCTAGCATGATCCCTTGCATGAGCAAACTGCCTGAAACCAGTGGTGGGGAGAGGAAAGTGGATCTGGAGAGGAGACAGTCAGCCAGGCAGCTCTGAGTAGTAGGCAGGGGCATTGGGAAGCTTCCAGAGGGCTGTTTTGTAGGGATGTATCAGAGACAACCAACCAGTGTGGTTTATTACTTAAATTCCATCTAATCCTTCCAGGCAGGCGGGTGCCTACTTTACCTGGCTCCATGGGGGAAGCGTGACTTACTTTATAGGACTCGCCAGGATATGGCAAGGTGGGCAGTCCCACCAGGTGCTGCCATCCAAATCCAGGGCATGTGTTGGATGGTAAGAGGCAACACCTCTTACTTGAGGAGAAGAGGGGAGTCCAGAGGTGGTTGGAGGCCTAGCCTGGAAGGATGGAAAAGGAAAGGCAGAGGGGTTGAGTGGAGAAGCCACAGGAGCTAATGTCCTTACTTAGAACTTGCCAAAGGGACCACAGCAGGTTCCAGAGGCATTAGAGTGTCCCAAGCAGCTCCTAAGAGAATGCCTGTGCTCTCTGAGGCAGCCTGGGTGTTAGAGCACATGGTAGCCTTTCTAAGTCTAGCTGGAGAACCTAGGCAAGTCTCTCTGCTTCTTCCAGCTTTCCGGGTCCTCATTTTCTCCATCTGTGAAATGGGGAGCAAGGTGGTGCTATTTCGCTGAGGTTGTTTATGAGAACTCCAGGACAACAGAGTGTCAAGACTGGGATTACAGACGCTCCCACCCCCCAGGGACCTTGACCTGAGGAGGAGGAGGGCTAGATGCTAGTAGCTGCAGAGAGTACAGGACAGGCTAGAACAGTCCTATCCACAGAATCGTAGGCACTTAGGAACCTCCCAGAATCTTCAGAGTCCAGATGAGGCCAGTGGTCCCAGTGCATAGATGGCAATGCTGGGCTCCTTAGGAATAAACCTGACCTCGGGTTAAGAGTGATGTGGAGAGTCAGAACAAAAATCAGAACCCAGACTGTATGGTAAGATGCCACCCCATGGGAAGACTCGCGGCCTGGAACACTACCTAAGGCTATTTGTCAGAAGGCACCTGGCCATGTAATCCCCACAGTAGGGTGTTTTCTGTAGTAGTCCTGCCCTAGGGCTGGTGTTTAGTCCACCGGACCTCACAGAGAGAATGATAGACTCCCTGCCCGAGGATTCACACGTTCCCAACTCTAGAGGTCACTCAGGCTTCTTTGGGCTGAGAGAAAAAGGTGAGAATTAGCACTTTAAGAGGCTTCCAGCACTGGAAGGTAGGGGCTGCCTGTGAGGAGAACAGTGTGGAAAGATGGAGGAGAGGCGGGCAGGCTACACACTCAGGGAAGTAATCTCCTTATTGTATCAGGGCCAAGTAGCACCAGATAGGCATAAGAAGAAGGGGTGTGCTTTCTCCCAAAACCAGGCTCTGTGCATGGGCAGGGGGAGCAGCCATAGCCAGCCAGTGCCCTCAACAGGGCAAGGCCTTTAAATACCAGGTGCCAGCCTTGTTGCCACTAACAACAAGGGACGGTTCTTTCTCCATGTAACCCAGTCTGGTTCAAATGTGTGATTCTCCCGCTTCAGCCTCTAGGGCTGGCATTACAGGCATGTGCCATCCGCCGTACCCCACGGCTCTGGTGGTGTTTCAGCACTCGTAAATGAGAAAACCCAGACTTAGGGAGGGAAGGAGGTTTTCAGGGGCCACCCGGGAAGTCACTTGGAGAGGGGCTTTGTCCTATGAAGATGGGACAAAGGCTTCCTTCCTCAAGGAAGGTGTTCTCACCCTGGCAGCCTTTTCTTCAAATGCTGGTCCAGGGTCCCAGAAACATGAAGTGGGGGGAGCTGGGAGAGGCCCCACCCACAGCCTACAGCTTGCAGGTGTCACCCCCCTCCCCGCCACCACTCTGACCCAGGACGAAGGGACTTTTCATGACAACTCAAACAGGAGCGCTGAGTAAACTTGGAACTTCTGAAACAACCTGAGAATATTCCCTGCCCGGGGCCCCTTAAGCTGTCCCTGCGGTCCCCAGGGAGGGTCACAACACTAGAACTGTCCCAGGAGGAGGGGCCTAGCTCCCCTCAAGCCTCAGTCTTCTTCACTGTGTGACCACAAATGTGGCTCTGGGACTCTCTGGGCCTCTGTTCCTTGATCTGCGAAGTAAGTGTGGACCAATACCAATACTGGAGTCTCCCAATTCTCTCCAGTGCTGGTTAAAGGCTCGTACCACCTCAGGCAGGCTGCGTGGGGCAGGGGGTGGGGGTTGGTGGGGGGATGGAGGTGGGGGAGGGGCAGGTGCTGTCTTGGCTCAGTTCTCTGCCACAACTTCAAGCAATCATGCTTCAAACAGCTCATGTCTGTGAGCCGCAGAGAGAGCAAGGCTGCACGAATTCGTGAGTTTGCATAGATTCTCTAGGCTGGAGGAGGTTCGGGTCCATGGAGACTGCACGTACACAGCCACTGGGGTGGGTCCTTCCTCATGTTCAGCTGCCACCCACTAAGCCATGAGCCCGATGTCCTCATCTGCAATCTAACCCACCACACTGGGAAAAACAGGCACCAGGAGCCGAGCGTTGGTGGCGCACGCCTTTAATCCCAGCACTCGGGAGGCAGAGGCAGGCGGATCTCTGTGAGTTCGAGGTCAGCCTGGTCTACAGAGCACAGAGCGAGTGCCAGGATAGGCTCCAAAGCTACACAGAGAAACCCTGTCTTGAAAAAGAAAAAAAGAAAAAAAAAACAGGCACCAGAAACACACAGCTACAGTGTGCCAGCACCTACCAGCACCTACTTCCTTGCTTCTTGCTGAAGTACAGCAGCTGAACTTGGTCTACAGATGTGCAGAGCTGAGCTCAGACAAAGCAAAAACGGTGGCCAAAAGCCAATGAGAGAGTTCTCTTCTGGTCCAGGTCTGCTAGTCTCATCCATCCACTTGGAAACGCTGCTCAGCTGAGACCCTATGGTGTGCCATCCCTGAATGTCACTAATCTGAGGACAGTCTCCTTTATCACCCTGGGAGCCAGGATTGCTGCCAGGGGTGAGGGAAGGGTACCTCCTGGGGATAGTGACAAAGCTGATAGGAAAGCTCCCTCACATGATCCTCACCCATCCGCTCACTCACTATCAGTGCATTCTACACACTGAGGATGCTGTGGTGAAGAAAGCTGGCGATTTATCAACCTCTGGGACCTGATGTGCCCAGACAATGATAGGTCATAAAGACAAGACAAGACATCACTATCCTGATAATATGACCGTTATGAAGAGGACCAGAGTGGACCTACTTCAGATGAAGCAGGCAGTCTCTCTGGAGGTTGATCCCGAAGTTGAAATCTGAGGATGAGGCTGCCAAGTAGCTGGGGGAGCGTTTTAGCAGAGAGATTGCATGTGCAAAGGTCCTGAGAAAAGGCACTTTGGAGCAGCGATATTCTCACCCTACAGAAACGCAGAGGCCTTCGGTGTCTCAGCTCACTGAATTTCAGAAACAGCAACCGAAGAGAGTCGGTTACAACTTTGGAGTGCATGGGCTGCATGATTCTTCACCAAAGAAAGGGATCCCTGTCATTTAGTCGGTTATGCAACCTGTGTGCGTATCTGCTGTGTGTGTGAGGCAGTGCTTAGCCACAGGGGGCTCAGCAGCAACCTAGCCCATGTGGCTCCTTCAGGGTGTTGCTTAGAAGGTGAATGGAAACATCCGGGGCTCTGGGCTGTGGTGTAGGGACAGAACCCAGAGGAAGAAGTGACTCACGCTCTTCGGACAGATCAAAGAAGACAACCATGACATTTGAACTTAACTTTGAAGACCTAGTAGGAACACACAAAGTTCCAATGACTGAAAGACCAGGTGTGAAGGGTGGAAGCCAGGGAAAGGTGACCTGTTAGTAACATCCTGGCAGTCTGGGGTGCTTGGAGCCCAGAGCAAGCAATGAAGCAGACAGAGAGGAGTGGGCACTAGGCTTTTCTCTGCAGGTCTAGGTGGGGCTGTGGGATGGTGTGGAGGGATAGTGGGTTGGAGGATACAGCCAGAGCCAGGGCCAAAGAAGAGCAGCAGGCAGGTGGGACACTCCGTGCCCAGAGGACCCAGAGGCCCTCCCTCTGGTTCCCCCTTGGGAAGTCCCTGAACTGACACACTTCTCCTTCTGGTGGCCTGCTGGCTCTTATGTATGGCTTTTCTGGGGAGTCCCTCTGTGCCCGCCTCAATGCTCCTCTGTCGGGGTAAGGAATGGGACATTTTACTTTCAAAATATTTTTACCTTTCACTTTCAACCCCGTTGTTCCCACCTGGTCTAGAGTGAGTTGGCCATAATCTGGACAGATCAAGTAGATTCTATTTGTTGGTCATTAGTGGGAGCAGGGAAGGGAAACCAAGAACTCAGGGTCTTCCAGTTCAGGGGAGGTGGGATGTGTGCCGTGAATGAGCAGGTCTGGTTAGGTCCACGTGACATGGGGACATTGCTCCTTAGCGTAGAATCTTGAAGTGGAGGTGCTGGGACCCAAGTGGCAGGCTTCCAAGGCAGTCACATTAACTCATGCCTCCACTCAGTACAGACCCCCAGAATGCAGAGAAACCATGACAGGAGCTGACTGCACACTCTTCCCAGTTCTCAGAATTGTCTTTTCTGTTTTATGTAGCAGGTGAGCTGAGCAGTGTCTCCCTCCATCACTCTCCACCCTTGTTTGCTGAGATAGGGTCTCTCACCATTTCCACTAGGCTGGCCGCCAGTGAGGTTTATGACTCTGCCTGCCAACACTGGGGTCGCAG